GCTTTCGGCATGCTGGAAAGCCCCGCCAATCGTTTCGCAACTGAGTTGGTCGGAAACGCAGCACATCGCCATTTGATTTGTGGTACGCATCTTACTATCCACAACTGGCACTTGGACAAGCTGTTCTTCCGCAAGATTGCTGGCCAACGCGCACAGTACATGCAGTACAGCAAGGGACAGGCTATGGAGCGCACCAAGCTGGGCCTAGACGTTGATCGCAAGGACTTTTTCTACTATCTGCTGAACGCCAAGGATCCAGAGACTGGCAACGGCTTCAGCATGGATGAGCTGTGGGGCGAGTCGAATTTGCTTATCATCGCTGGCTCGGATACTACTTCGACGGCCATGGCTGGTACAATGTTCTATCTCGCAAACAACCCCTCAGCTATGCAAAAGGTGTGCAAGGAAATCCGTGAAACCTTTGCCGATGTCGAGGAAATTGTTACTGGACCCAAACTCAGCGGTTGCTCATACTTGCGTGCATGCATCGATGAAACGATGCGCATGACGCCCCCTGTAGCTGGCGCTCTTCCCCGAGAGGTTCTCACTGGAGGCTTAGATATCGATGGCCGTCACATTCCTGCCGGAGTAGATGTTGGTGTTCCCATCTATGCAATCCACCACAACCCCGAGTACTTTCCTCAGCCATTCGACTATATTCCTGAGCGCTGGCTTCCAGACCCTACAGTAAACCCTCATCATAGCAGTCTCCAGGCGGCTCAATCAGCATACAACCCATTCAGCATTGGTCCCCGTGGGTGCATTGGTAAGGGTCTGGCGTATGTCGAACTGACTGTGACGATTGCAAGGGTTTTGTATTTGTACGATCTGAGATTGGCTCCCGGCATGACTCTGGGTGCAGGAAGCAAGGAGCTGGAGGAGGGCAGGAATAGGGAGACTGAGTACCAGATCATGGATGTATTCGCCAGCAAAAAGGATGGACCAATGCTGCAATTTCGCGCACGATCATAGATTAAGATAAAACTTTGCATCTCAATACTTTCAATACATACTGCACACTCTTCAAAATAGACTCTAGTTCATCGTGTGCCGCCACAATCATGTTCCTACCACACATGAGCTGTTGATTCATCAATGTCTTGATCCATACATCCAGACCCCAGCGACCAAACACGCCACACGTCCGCAAAAAATATAAACCTCCAAAAACATACGACAGCGGGGATTCGCTAGTGGTCACCCACCTAACTACTAACCCGCCGGTAAACTGTTTAACTAAAGAAGATCTAACGGGTTTCAGTGGTCCAAGCTTCCTATGGTCGTATGTACCAAAAATTGGAGTTGTGCTGGTCATATAACCAGCCCGTCGTCAAGAGGACTCACAACCTACGAAGACTGTACGTACAACGAATAAAAAAAGCAAAAGTTTGTCTACATGTGGTACGTCACCGAGAAAGCAGAATGTACATGGTAGTAAAGGAAAAATCATGTTGTGTGACAAAGGTACTGATCAAGCAGATATTCATGAATCGTTTACAGCATGGAGTATAGCTCACTTCGATACGTTATGACTCTGTGATTGAGCTAAGTTCAAATGTGCATACCCTATTTTCGAACCGATAGAAGATCTCGCTTAAGCGAGTGATTCAAGATGCACAAGAGATAGTACATACAGCCTTGCAGTGCGTTATCGATAGCAGGTCTTGGCGCTCCGACAAGGCGTGGAACTTTTTCGGCGAATGTTGACGCACATCCTGCACCCAAGCACAACAATCTTGGGATTCTCTGGCCAATCGCATTACTCTAGGTTGTCTACATTCACATCTCACAATGGCCGTCTCAAGGGTGTTCTCACGGAGCCACCTTCTCTGTCGTGCGAGCGCTTTGTGCATACGCGCCACTCCCCCAGCAATCCCATCAATCACTTCATCATTGCCCAGGAGAACCTTTACTTCCAGTATATCAGCATGGGAAGAGATTGTTCAAACACCTTCAAGAGGCCCAGAGATCGCTCTCACAGATAACCGTACCGCTTCAGCGGGTATCACGGCAAATTCCATTAGTTTGCTAAAGATTTCAAAGCGACTATCAAGAGGCGACATTGAAGAGTTTTTGCGGCAAAATGGTTTCAACATGTATGTTCTTAATGGACCAACCAAATTGCACATAACTTTACAATTGCACATCTCAGCTAACAAGAGTATAGAAAGAAGATGCAAATGCGAGTAGATCGCTTCACATTCCACAATGACACCATGTGCTTTGTGGAGCTAGGAAGCCCTGAAGAAGCCCAGAGAGCGGTCAAAAAGCTTAATCAAGCAAAATTACAGAACAAAAGCATCGTAGTCAAGCCTTTGAAAGACGATTTCTACTGGGGTCATCAGGAGACCACAAAGCACTCGCCCTACGGATCTCGCTTCTTCAACGACGAAGGCGATGCTGCGCAAGAGGCTCTCCGCCCCTTGGCCGAAGGACGCCGGATGGTTCTTTCAGTGAAGACACCAGGCTGGTCGCCTAAGTCCAGAATCACCGAAGCCAGACAGAACGCAATTAAGATCATTGAAGAAAACTTTGGCAAATATGGTGTTGAGAGAGTCAGCGATATGTCAGTGTTCTTTGGCGACAAAAAGGAAAACCCTCGCCTGCTGGGCTGGATCGACTTCAAAACGAAAGAAGGTGCCGAGCAAGCGGCTGTGGAGAAGCATAATACGGAAATAAATGGCCGTCTCGTGTGGCTGCAAGCCTCCAACCCCTCCAAGTGGAGAGTACAGCAGTACTCGAAGTCTGCCCCGCAGTTGGTACAAGAGTTGCAGGAGAAAGGTACGGTGTCGAAGGAAATGTACGAGGACAAGTTTGTCACTCCACTCCCGAAGAACAAATCCAGCTAGACAGCAGGAAAGGTTTACAAGGACTTTTCTCCACACCCTGTCAAATGGATTTTCGGTAATCAAGAAGCGTACTACTAGTATGGATCGGGAAATTCTATGTATTTGTACTTCAAGAAGCATGCGCTAAGCCCTGCTCTATCTTACACAAACCGAAAAGACGGTAAATTCTACTTCATCCAGGCAGCTAGATGAGAAAAAAATATCATGCAGGAAGAATGGCACATGTTTGAAACTGGACTCTGAACCATACACCAGCACCAATCCAGAAACAGCCCTACGGTATATTGTACCGTTCAAACTAACTCACCCAGCCCTACTTACGCCATACCCGTCATTTGTCACATTTTTACCACGATAACCGAGTTTTAGCCAAATAAGTACACTACAATCTCCTAAATTTTCTATTCCCACGGTTTATTACCCTCACACATTCATGCAATAGTACATGCCCACTCACACATCCCGCCCGTTTCCGAGCGGCCCCCTGTAAGTTTTCGGAAGTAACGCGCTACTACCCACATCCGGACCCCCCACCCCCTTGCCAGAAAATTCCCAAACTGGGCAATTATGTTTGAAACCCATTGGTTCTCTTCGGTATCGCAATACGCGGAGCCCGACAGTCTTCGGAACGACGCGAGATTCGATGGGAGAAAACGGCAAAAGGTCGGATGTTTGTATGTGGCTGGCTGGCTGGCTGGCTGGCGGAGGTTTGCTTGGGGGAGGTGTGGGGGAGTATATGAGCAATTGCCGCCAAGGGCGCGCGCCGGCGCCGGTTTGCGGAGTTTTTTTGGCGGCTGTCAAGTTCCGAGGCGAAGAAAAGGACAGGAGAAATGGTATGGAAGTGGACACAGTTAGTAGTCGCGCAAAAAAAAAAGGAGTTCGGAAACTAATTAGTTTTCGCGCTGTCGCCTCGGACTTTTCTTGGTGTATTCGATAGCTTGAGGCTGTCGCTTCCCCCGCCCCTTTTTTTCTTCCCTTCGAGAAGGCTCATTAGCACACGAAGCTATTCTTTTTTATTGGTTCGCGCTTGCTTGTGAGCCCTTGTTTTTCTTTGGTGGTCTCTTACTATTCCTTACCCGTTGCGTCCCGATTAGCACAACATCAATTCTAACAAAGGGTGGTTGGTGTACTTTACGAGCCCGCTGAAACCAAAGTCTCTTATCAGTTACTATCGGCACACTCGGCCAGCCACATGTCACGCTCTAGTTGTGATTTCGCCATGGGTTCATCCAATTCCAGACCGTCTATTCTGGCCAAGAGCCCGACTATCCATCTCGTTGCGTTCCGGCATGTAGCCGGCAGCCAATGAGCGCGCACGAGGCTTCGAGATTGGGGCTGGAGGGGAACCCTGCATAAGCCATATGGACTAGCGTGTGCAGCACTCTCAGGGTCCAACCGGTCACCGGTGCGCGAAAGGCGAAGGGGTGAGGCGAACAAAGTCTGGGGTACCTGGGCTCTCTTTCCCTCGTCGCCGAATGTCCGTTGTTTAGCCAGAAGTTTCAACGGGGATCTTGTTGGGAAACAAAGGAAACCGAGGAGAGTGAGATAGCCGAGGATACTTAGCGTTCGTGATGTGGCGTCTGGCCAAAAACAAAAGCATACGGGGGGGGACTGTTGGCAGGTTACTAGATGGCGCATAAGTATGTATGAACGTGTCAAGAAGAGGCACGAGGGTTCTTTCTCTCCACCGCCTCTTGATACCTGTCCTCGCATAGCCGAACCGCATCAGCCGCGCCTCCCCGACAGAGTTTCCTCTTCGAGGGTAAAAGCGTTCATCTGGTTGGGTCCGGTTGGACGGGCGTTGCATTCGTGCCTTTTTCCTTATCGCTAATCCGGGGGTGATACGGAGCGAGCAGGCCTGTAGGGCCCCATTTGCATTCCATTTCCCAGGGGTCCAAGCTCCCCCGGCTACAAAGATCAAAGGAGTCAGACCACGGAGTCAGACTAGTTGTCTGTAAGACGGCGAGATGCAGATGAGTGATTATAAAGATGCCGCCCCGGCTCGCGTGAGGTTACTGGGGTGCTCAACGTACTGATTGCACTTATATTCCGCCGTGTTGCTTGAAGAGCTTCCTAGACCATTTCCTATCTTTGATATTCAAGAAGAAAAAGGGAAAACCATACTCCGATATCTGTACACGCGTTCAAGTCTCATTTCTCCGACATCGCTCTGTTGAATCGTTTTGTGCGTGGCAAGCTTGGGGACACGATACTGAAAGACTCGAGGTGTGTAAACTTTCCATCACCGCTACTCCACAACATGCCATACCTGCACCGCCACGACCACTGCGGCCAGATAGAAAAAGAGAGTCTAGAACATCGACGCTCGGTTTCCGCGGATAGAAAAGGATGGGCCACGACTGCCACATGGGAGAGCAACTATAAATTTACGAGAAAACAATGAAAAAAGCGGTCAGCTAACCGGACATATAGACCTCTCTCACTGTAAATACCTAAAAGACCATACCAAAGGTCATATTTGAAAACCCCACCTCTTCGGCACCTCCAGGACCCAATCAGAAACCATGTGCTCATACACATACTCGTGGTACTACTGCAACCACGACTACTACATCTGGTAAATTCCCCTTCCATCAAGATACCTCAAAACGAAAGACAAGAGATGGAACAAAATACTAACCCGAAAAACAGGGCCAACAGCATCGAAGTCTGCTCCTCCCGCCTACTCTCCGGCTACTCTTACGACGCCTGGTCCATCGACATGTGCTCCAAGATGAAAATCGAATGCGGCGGCTTCTCAAACTACTACTGCACCGACTGCTCCGAAGACGTAGCACTTGAATTCGAGCTCGACGAGCTATAAACTCTTTTGCACCCAAAAAAAAAATCACCCTGGCATCCTTGAGTCAACCGGTACGTTCAAATCCTTTATTTCTTCTTGTTGGGGATTTTTTTTCTTTCTCTCTACATGGCTGCAAAGCAGAAAGAAGAGGAGGAAAGTGTTGGAAAACGTTATTTTTGGTGAACGGGGGAAGGGCGGAAAGTGGCAACGAACAACAGGACGGACACATGGCAAGTGGGGGGGGAGACCCTTGGAAGGCACCCTGCGTCGGGGAATGGGGGGGGCGCGCGCTTGTGGAATGAGATGGCACCATGGGTTTATTTGTGGAGCGAGGCTAACGAGCGGGTGCAGATGAAAAGATGCAGCCGAGTGCACATGTTGCAACGCGATGGTGCTGGGGGCGATGGGCTAGCTTGTACGGCATCTGCCTCACCGCCCTTTTTTTGGGTCCCCGTTGAGCCCCCCCTCGCGATATTGGTCCGATATGATTGTTTCCCGATCTTTTTTTGTTATTGTTTGTCCGACAGTCTGTGTCTGAGTGCGCGATACCTCTTTTTCTTTCTCTCTTCAGCTCGAGCGTTGTAGGCGCATAGTAGGCGCATCCTGGAGCTGTGAGGCTGCATTCACAAGATTGGGTTATTGAATGGCGTTGGGACTACGTATAGCGCGGTGTGTTTGTTGGCTATTTAGAGCGTGCATTTCCACTTGATTTTGATCGAATTCAACAACGCTTTTTGCGCAATCAATGTTCAACATGGTAGCATTCTCAGATCCTACACCTGCATTCTGCGTCTTATTCCGTGAGACTGTCTTCAGCCGTCTTCGGGCTAACAGTATTCCCTTCCTCTAGGGTCTGCCTAACCTGCGCTGCTCGCCTCCTCGCATCAATGTACATCATGAATTCCTGATATGTCCTTGGCATGACCCTAATGTTCTTTGGCACTGTAAACGTGTAGTTGAATTGGCCAGTCGGCTTCGAGTGGCCATGCTCCACATCCCTCACCTTGGAATCAACCCGGATTTGCACTCGTGTGTACTCCGAGTTCTCGTCAAACTCCTCTCCCGGTGCGCCAATCAGCGGTGGGTCTGTATACACTACCGTTGCCGTGAGGTATAGGATACTGCCTACAGGCACAGGGTTCTGGAAGGTGGATGGATCGAGCGACACGAAGGTGGGGCGGGCATGGGCAAAGGCTGCAGCGGTAGTAAAGGCGAGCTCAAAGGTTTGCTTAAGGAGAAAACCACCAAATATCATAAAGTGGTGCCGATTACGGTATTGAGGCTGCATGATGGTCGCAGTCTGCAGCCGGGTTGCATCCATGGGAACCACATTGTCAGGTTTCCGAAGTTCATCATACGGATCTGCATCAATTAGCTTACAGACTCATATTACTAGTGTAAGAATGTGACATACCGTGGTACTGCAATTGCTTTTGCCAGAATGCGTGGATTAGATCGCTCTCGAGATCGTTTGGTGTATGCTTAAGAAGAGAGGTTTCCCGACGCTCTTTTCTCACTCTTGAATTGCGTTCACCCAGAGCGTAGATTCGTTGTTCTTCAGATGTCTCAATCTTTAACGGGTTGACGTTCACCGGCCTGGTAATGTTGTCAGTCGCCAATCAAGATCACAGATATCAAAGACCATACTTCTTCGTAACAGGATCCAGGGAAACCATCGTGAAGGTACAATTGATGAGGACGTCTTCATCTTTTGTCTTTTCACCCTCCTTGGGTGCCTTTGCAACCTGCATGGTGATTTCCAAGCTACTCCTACCCGTCGCATACGTAACGCGGCCGGAGAGCTCCAGATCACAGATCTCTGTTAGTGGAGAATGAATGGTGATGCGGTCACAGCTTGCAGTAACAGTGGTAACGTCATCTCCTGTATGCTTGTATCTGTGGGCGTGTTTAGACAAAAGCGATTATTCTGCACAGCCATTGTACGCTTACGCGATAATACCCGAAAGTGCATCAAGATCCATGAAAATGGTCCCAAGGCGGATGTGACCTGATGCATTGAGATATGTGTCGAGTATCCATGGATCCTGGGCGAGAGGGAGCACAACTGAATGGTAGCTTTCACTCATGCGCTTCGGCGTCAGTTTGCGATCTTTGGGCAATTCAGTTTTTTTCGAAGGCTCAGAGGGCTGATTGGCCTCTGCTTGTTGTTGTCGTAGAGCCTCTACCCAAGGCGTGCGCACCCGCATGGCAGTAAGCTCTCGGAAGACGCCATCGGTGCGTGGTGTCGGGCTACAGTGAAAAGACCTGCAAGGTATTGACAGGATAGCAGATGAGGACGAGACAGTGCTGCCGCATCCCCGAATCTGGCTGACGCGCTGGAGCGCGTTCCTGGTGAGAACCTTCATGTTGGGATTTGTTGTGGAACTGCGAAGCGGAGAAGGCGCAGGGGGTGACGTACCGACTGACATCAAGTGACAGAGCGGTCCCGGGTCTTGGCGCGGAAGGCGATACCCCACAGCTGCCATCCTCCATTCTCCTGACAAGCTCCACCTCAATGCCGCCTCACCCCTCTTCCCTGGTACCGATGAGAGTTATCTGGGGATAGAATGTCGCGATCCGTCGAGCTGGGGCGCGCAGTACTGCATGCACCCACTGCCCATCACGAGCTTTGGCTCACAACATTGATCACCATCTCACCAAAACAGGACTCACCTTACCTTGCACAGCTCACACCTGTTCAGTGTCTCAAAGCCCTTGCATCTGGACTACTATGGATTGATCGTGGACATGATATGCATGTGAATTTGGAACTGACGGTGAACAATGAGGCGCTGCCCCACAAGCAGCTCCAAACCCTCACGAATGCTATTCTCCAGGCTCCAGTAAGCCATACTCACATCAGTTCACCCCTTCCTTCTAACCAGATCAAGGTATGGCAGCAATTAATGTTGAGACCAACCCTTCCCAGCAATTCCATAACAGACTCAGGAACGATTCGATTCAATATCAGTCACGCTACTGTCGCTAGAAAGGAGGTGGGGCAAAAGCATCACAGGCTGTTTTCAGATGTTCCGGCGACAGATATTGGGCCACCAGAGGGCGTTATTTCTGTATCACTTCATTCGGTTCGCCTATGCCTGGACATTCTAGAGACAGGTCCGCGCCGGAAGCTTGTAGTGCCGCGATCGAACTCCTCCTCGGATGAGCGCATTAAAGCCGAAGATAAGACTATGATCCCTTTTGATGTAGACTCGGCTGGAAGCGCCTCAAGTCATGATGCACCAAAACCCGTTCCGTTTGATGCTAGCAGAAAACGAAAACGATCCGTCACTAGCATGTCACCGACGCCTCTAAAACTTCCCCGCCGACACGCTGACAGTGATGAAAGAGATATGCGGGTAGATCTAAGTTCCCAGTCAGCGCACAGTCTTTCCTCGATGATGCAATTTCAAGTTAATGTGCGAGCCATGGTCGATAGCGCACTACGTCTCTGCATACGCGGTACAATCTCTAAATATCCAAATGGGTTAAAAGCTAAAGCGAATACATTCCGTCTGGGATTGGCCGATGTAGCCCCTGCGTTATGGAGAAGCGGATATATCGATGTATGGAGCGCTTTACATCCCTCAGTCTACTGCTAATATTCGAATAGGCTTTGTCTCAGAGAGCCCAACTAATGCCCACAGTTGCTCAGTCACTCGCTCAAACAAGCTTTGCAAGAACAATGTCTATTTCTCTGAAGTCCAAAATGGAGATCATCAGCAACGCTGCTTTTGCGGGTGGTCGAGATAAAACCCATGGGCCAGGATACCCCATTGAGTCTAACACCGCCCGTATCACGCGATATGTCGCAAGTAATCTATGGGTGCATTCACAAAAAAGTCTACTTCGCGACCCTACACCGCCGATATTAGCCTGCATTGGCTCCCCTTCAGAGGAAGTCTACTCAGACTCAGAAGATATGTTAGTGGGGAAAGACATCGAATGGAACGAGGGCTTATATGCAGTACACGACGAAGATATTTCCCTTAGTAACTCAAGCGAAAGTACTGACGGTGGGTGTTTACTGCCTTTAATACCGCAAATAGTGACTAGTGACAATCACCAAGTCCAAACACAACACGAAACCTTCACCAAACCTATCACAAATTACGGTATTACCGAGTTGGAAGAAGAGCTATTGTTTGATCCACTATCCTACTAGGCGTCTTCAGGTCTCTACTCCGGTTGCGATGGCAGATCCGAATGATCATGTTTACGAACACACACAAACCTATCCCCGAACGTATTGGGCCCGGACAACAGGTATTTGAAGATTAGCGCAGGGTATTGATGCCACGTCTGCCTGGTGTAGCTTTCAAGAACTACTTATGCATCGTCTGTGCGCTGATGCAGGGTTTTTGCGTGGGCATAAGAAGAACAGACCCAGCATCCAAACGCAACTTCTGGTTGGACGAAAGCTACTGATACTTGGCTTTTGCGCACCGCACTAGTGTCACAATTGACATGATTAGGTTTACCAGCTTCGTGGAATCTGTTTGACATGCACTAGAAGTTGTTTCACCTCGGACTTCTTCTATCATAGGATCATGAGTACATATTCAATGCGCCTATTTCTATGCAAAACACTGCAAAGAAGAATGAGGTCATGCATCCCTATCGCTAATACTACATCCGATCAGGCACAACCAACTCTGACCCCATCCATCTTGGCCTCAAGCACAATCCGAATTGTGGGGTAGCGACCAGAACAGCATAGATATATCATCCACAAATAATGCAGGACTCTCAGAACCCGCCCATATGAGACTGGTGTTCCGTCGCTCAATCCTTGGCAAGTTTTGGGTAGTTCGTTCCTTGGCAGGCGGCAAGCTTCTCTTGGCTGAGAAGGGAGCCTGAATCATGAGCGCCCCAGGCCTCAGTTAAGAAAGTAACATCGGGCCCTGACGTTATATATAGAATAAGGCGCTGGCTTAAACTTTATTCTTCCAATCCGCCCCCACATACGACTTCCCTAATTATACTGTCCTGTGGACGGCATTAGTTTCAGGCCTACATTGACATGGTCTAGGACTTGTCTCCGGCAGACAGCTGTCAAAGAACTGCGCATCAGAGTTTCCGCTCCTAGCTGCAACCTTGCGGATGGAACACCCGATATCGTATGAGTTCTTGGGAGTAGAAGAGAGCTTGCTAAAACGGCTTGCTAATTGGCGGCAACTCCGTCCGATATAATTATCAGATGATTTAAGATTTCCGAACCTTATTCGAGTCCCAGCTCAGATTTCCAACTTCTCAATCCCTAGTCAGAATTCACCGTGACGATCAACACGGGATCGTCAAATCCCTACGTATCTATGAAGCATTCATAGTGGCATCGCTCAAAGCTTGAGGTACTCAGACATACGAAATTTTCATAAGCATCCAAAACACAGCGGCTCAACGACAACGGCCAACCTGAGTTAAAATTCATGATCTGATCAATACTCGCCAACCAACACCACTAAACTCCACTCCACAGTTATTACTAGTAACTTCGCCAAGTATTATCGCACTAACAGGCGCCACATGAGCCCATGTCAACTGGCAACACTCGCCCTTGGTAGCATCGTGTTTTGCTTGAGGAAGCTTGTTAGCCAGCGCTAGGCAGTGGAACAACGCTTGCCACTACAATATCTTGAGGAAGAAGAAAGCCCTTCACGGTGCACTTCCCAGATGCGAATTATATACAGGATTTATCAGCTGGTGAATTACATTGTTTTATACGGGCAATGTTCTCAATAACTACCAAGTCATAGGCATAGCGCTCTCACAATGGGATATATCAAGTTGCAGCGCATCGGTAGATCAAAGCACACCAAAGAACAACAGTCGACCATAATTCTGAGTATCAAAAGGCCAAGAAAGTTTATCGATCGTTGGAGCCCTCAGCCCTGGGACCGTGTTTCATCGCCCACGGCTGTCACCACCACTTAGCGCATAAGTTGTGGCGTTCGCAACCCAACCTAGCACCAACTCCCGCAAGGAGTAATTACTGTGGAGCCTCGCGGTCTGTCCCGGGATTCACCTGGCGAGGGATGGTGTAACGGGGTTGTCCGTTGTCAAGAGAGGGGAGGCTAGATTTCTGCTTTAATAAAGCGCCAGAGAATCCGTTTGGTACGCTTAGCATACTCGAAGTTATTCACTTGTTTTGTATTGATGCGGCCGGTTGCTATAGGGGAGATTGACGTTTGCGATAGACGAATTCCGTCGAAAACACGTGTTGTGGAAAGTGTGTAGCAACAGCGTTGCGACTTTGCTTTGGCCTAAGTACGTGCGTAGTTTTTTTTCAATCGGTACAATGTGCTGGAGAAACATGCTCTAACAACATCCAGATCTATCGGAAAGACGTCTATGCACAGGTGCATTTCTCTCTTCATCAACCCACCAAAATCCCGTCGCATTTACCATGTTGAGACCAGAGGTCGAAGACAAATACCTCGTCGGAACCATACCTCCCATATCCTTTCTCCCGTATCTTGTATTCGCCTCGTTTCTTGTCAGCCTAACTGGGACCTTTACCACCGTAGAGCTACTGCACCGACGAGCCTCTGGAACAGGATGGCGTCCCTGGTACGTATTCAAAAGCAACATCACATCACAGCGTCTTACATGTTACAGGGCGGATATTGCTATTTGTTCAGTAACATTCGGGTTGGTCGCAGTCTGGTGCATGCATTTTGTCGGGAACCGTGCAATCATCCTTGGTGACGGCGAGTTAGAGATTCAGCTATACTACGATGAGACATATGTGGTGCTGTCAGCTATACTACCCATTATACCCATCTTCATGGGTCTCTCTGTCGCGATCAGATTTCACGAGCTGGGTCGGCGAGCTATTGTTCGATACGGATCGCTTGCTGTATGCGGGCTGTGTACAGGTGGTGCCACTACTATGATGCATTTTCTGGGAAACATCGGCGTCGAGAATTGCAGAATGTCGGCGAACTGGGCGAATATGGTTGGTTCTGCAGCTGTTGCTGTGGTCATATGTTCGGTTGGGTTTGGCCTCTTTTTCTACTGGGGAAAACTATGGATGAACAATATCTGGAGGCGCATATGTGTGTCCTTTACTCTGGCTGTGGGCATTTGCGGGTGAGTGATACCGCACACATATGGTATGATAAACTTTCTAACATGGTCTAGGATGCACTGGACTGCAGCAACAGGTACTTGGTATCAGATCGAGGCTTACCATGATGGCGAGGAAGCAGACCAGAACGTAAATCTGATTGTCGCTTATTGCCTTGTAAGTCACAGGCTGCAAATGTCAACTCTGCTGCTAACATGGATCAGTTAACAATCTCATGCATTGCATGTGTCATACTAGGCTTCATCAAACAACGCCAACGGAAAGAGGAAAAGAGCAGGGCGCAGCAAGCCGTGCTAGCTCTTGCCACCTTTGATCCTTCAGGGAAGTTGCTGGTCAATAAGACTGGGTTGATGCCGTGCCAGACCATCATCCAGCATTTCAATCAAGGAGCCTTCGACGATGAACTCGACACGTCCCATCCGGTTTTCCAATGGATTTTTAGGGTCACACGAAACTGGAATGGTATCTCCGATCTCATTCCGTCAATGCGTGAACACCTGCAACTGGCTGGATACCTCGAAGCGACTTCTCCCGGAAACAAAAGACGCAACTCATTACACGAGAGCGACGATGCAACCTCGTCGGCCACGTTCCGTAAATTGTTTTGCGTCACAGCTGATGAGATGGCTACAGCTCTTGAAATGGGTCTCGAGAAGCTGGGATGTCTATATGAGGATGTTTTGACTACTGGCACGATGACCACCAATCGCGGGACGTGGACAGGTACACATACAACCAAGACTACACCAGATGTGAACGTGACAATTAACGACCTCGAGTCGGGGAGATTCGAGCCAGTCGTGTTCGGAAAGGGACAGATGCTCATACTCTCGAGGAAAGTCGACGCATCAGAAGCACACCGATTACAACAACTAGGCTACAGCTTCGCCGAAATCGAGCAGGTCAGCCATAACATAGCACGCAGCCTGCAGATCCCCTGTGGCGAACTCGAGGATCTTATCATACGCCTACATGCTTTTAGTGAAAGACAGTACTCTGTTCCGAAGAGCGGCACCTACCTTGCCTCTTTCTTGGTACAACCAAGACCTGGCATGAAAAGCATGGATGTCGTGGTACCGCGGGCGAATTCAGGCCGGCTCCCAATGGTCAAACTTGATGACGATCAACTCGACAGTCATCAATTGGAAATCCTCTCAACATTCGACGGGCTCACTTTGGACCGGTGCCTGGCGCGGATCAAAGCCTCCTCGGAACCAGATACTAAAGTCTCCGCTTTCATGCACAAATTTGGCAGTCAGATCGAATCCCTTCTCCGGGAATGCCCTGAAGAGGCTCTGCATTTTTCCACGTTCTCGGCACAACAACTCGACATGGTGAATGGACAAACGGATTTTAGCCAGGCAAAGGTGTTTGCTTTCTGTGGTATCAAGGAAATTTACGTCCAATCGCTGCAGAGCTTCACTCTTAAGGCAATACCGTTTTCGTTTTTCAAGACATATCTCAGGTCGCAGACAGGATGTGCAGACCACGCTGTGCTTGTGCAAAGAAACCACGACGAGTTCGGCTATCTCCAGCGGGCGCAATCAGATGCCGAAACTTCGTCTTCAAGCCTCAGTTCCAAGTGGCCGTGGAGCCTTCGCAAAGAGAAATCACTATCTAGCGAGAGGAGCTGGAACGAAGAAACGGACTCTGTGGATAACCTTGTCAACCACAGACTGCATACTAGGACTCTCACAGCGGCTTCGGGCCACAGTATGTGGGGCAGAATGGTTACGAATTCCCTTGAGGAAATCAAGTCGCCTAGAAGCAAATCCAGTTTCAAAGTGGAGATGCATAGTATGAAAAGAGCGAAGAATAATATGGTGGATCAGGAGAGCCAAACGCTGGCTGATCTGTTGATGACGATTACGACAGCATCCCGTGGCTCACTTATGAGCCGGCCACCAACCAGTGTGGAGCCTGGAGCTAATCACTCCTTTCCGTAGATTTCGTTTATGTTATGAGCTTTCTCTTTGATATAGATTCACGATGTTTCTTCTTCTGTAGATATTTGATATATCCATTATATACATAGCGACAAAGGGCAGGATCCACTAACTTGGGGAACGGCGTGCTCTATGAGAAGAGGCTTGATAGATCGAAGTAACTCGAGAATAGATAATATGATTGTTCACGGATTCAATGTGACCAGACAAATGGACTTCAGAGAGATCCTATGATCACATGATTTGGCGAGGGATGCAAGCGAATGCGGATGTCCGATAACGCAACGGAGATGGTGGTGGGATGCTTGGCGTACCTATGACGCTCATCCGAACTTTCTGTACCCCCACTCTCGAAGCATCGAAAACATTGACTCGGTCGCATAGCTCAGCGAGAACAGCAGAAACAGGCTTACCAGAGTTCTGCCTGTACCGAGCTTCTTTCTAGTCCCTCCAAGCTCACAATTGCTTGTCTCTGACGACTATCAAAAGCTGCGGCTCGCGCGCAAGCCCCCACCATGTCTCTGCCAGCAAATACGCAAACACACCAACTCTCACGACTCGCAACCCTCACACCGCCTTCAAACTCGCGAACATGGCAGTCCGCGCCACATCCGACTCTCCCCATTGTTGCGACGGCCTGCTCAGACCGAAGCGTTCGCGTGTATAGTCTCACGTCTTTTACACTACTCCACTCGATAACCGGAGGTCACAAGCGCAGCGTACGAACAGTATCATGGAAGCCTGGTACACAGGGCCAGAGCGTGTTGGCTACAGGCAGCTTCGACTCGAGCGCCGGCATTTGGCGGCGTGAAGAACAAGGCGGTACATTGGAAAACGACTTCACGAACCGGCGTATGGGCAACACCGAAGACGATGATGGGGACGACGAAGCAGAAGACTATCAATTCAGTTGCATTCTTGACGGTCACGAATCCGAGATTAAGTGTCTCTCGTGGAGCCCTTCTGGGCAGTACCTAGCCACTTGTTCGCGCGATAAGAGCGTGTGGATATGGGAAGAACTGGAAGATGACAACTTTGAGACAGTAGCCGTGTTGCAAGAGCATGATGGAGACGTCAAATGCGTGGCGTGGCATCCAGAAGAGGATCTTTTGGCCAGTGCAAGTTACGATGACACAGTCAGACTTTACAGGGAAGACGCGGACGATTGGGTGCAGGTTTCCATGATAGATGGACACAGTCAGACGGTATGGTGGGCTGAGTTTGAGGGAAGTGGGATGAGTAAGAAGGATTGGAGAGCACAGAGAGAAGGGCTATCTGAAGAGAAGACACAGTATATTGAGGATCTTGAGCGCTCGGGGCCACGGCTGGCGACATGTTCAGATGACCGCACAGTGAGGATATGGAGGCGGAAGGCAAAGGAGAGGGATGATAATTCGAGCAGCAACACGGGTATACCAAGCATCATCCGTTCGGCGGCGATTGACGAAGATTGGTATCAGGAAGCCATACTTCCGCAAGTTCACGAACGCGCCATCTACTCAGTCTCATGGAGCCGCAGGACAGGCATGATTGTCAGTGCTGGCAGCGACGGCAAGGTTATCGTGTACAAAGAGCGCTGGAGGCAGGATGCCTCGAATGCCGCCAATGGAGATCAGATGGAGCTTGATCCGGCGCAAGCACAATCACCGACGGAATGGATAGTTGTTGCAGAACTGTTTTCAGCACACGATGTGTTTGAGATCAACCACGTTGCCTGGGCGCGGAGAGCAGACAAGGGTAAGCGGTCTGAAGATGAGGAGGTGGTGCTGAGTACTGGCGATGACGGGGAAGTTCGGGTCTGGACGCTGGACGAACCAGCGGCTAGGGCAGGAACATGAGGCCCAGGCCTATTACCGCAAGCAGTCAAGCCCTGTTGTCTCGTCTCACCACATCGTATGACCTCATGTGCTCTTTTTTTACTCTCTTTACTTAAACTTGCGGGCCTCGTAGCGAGTAGTAAATGCAGACTTGCGGTCTACGCGCCGCAAATTAAGGTCACTGGCGGCTCCAGACGGCAGTGGGCTTGAGTTGATGGCTTGGATCGATTACAAGTCGTCATCGCGTGCTTGTCGAGCGTGGCGCGTTGCAGGCTCTGGTGTAGCGGCCGTGTTGTACGTCTAGTAAGGGGACGGGAAGAAGGCCAATCTTACAGAATGCAGGAATCAGAATGGGCAATGCCACACGTGGGCAGGCTTTGGCAATTGCTGGTATGCGGTGCTGTGGCGCAGGGGGCGGCGAGTGAACTTTCGTCATGCCAAGAGGGCGATCGCGATTAGGATCAGGGAAGCGGTGCGAAATTTATGGGAAGATGCGAGGTGTAATCTACGCGTATCTGACGACGTTTATTTGCCCACTGTGTCGCGATTGTGCACACTCTTCTGGCCACTTTGCCTGTCTGTCTTGTTTCTGTGCTCTGCCTACACCTGGTGAGCCCGGCCGCGTCGCCCTCTCGACACCTCCCTCCTTCCTTCACCCGTTAAGCGGCCCCCTTGGTAGCGGTCACTGTAGCTCCAGCTTTCGGAATCCGACCCACGTCTTCCGCGTATCAGGACCGCGCGTTGTCCATCACAAAGCTCCTCGGTCTCCTCCACCCCACACCTGCGGTCGCTTCCATCCCAACGCATTTTCGCCAAGAGCGCGTGTTCTGTAAGAAGAACGACGTTGCGCCCATAGTCGCCCTCCCCCTCTCGTTGCTTGGTTCACCGCCTGCACCCATCTGCCACCGCCTATGCCACCAAAACGAAAGCGAACCACGGCCGTAGACTCCGTCAAGCAAGACGCCATGGACCCCGTCCAACCCTCTTCTCGCGATGCATCCGACGAGGGCACCGTAGATCCTGTGCTCAAGGCCGTCGCGTCCAAGAAGGAGCGCCAGGCCGACACCAATGGCACGGCCAAGCGAGTACGTGTAGCAGACGGCCCCCACAACGGCGAGGACGACGAGGAGCGCGCCAGCAAGAAGAGCCGCCGCACATCATCATCCCCAGACAGCGAGCATGGCGAGGCAGGCGAGGCCGAATCTATGCGCATGCCGCCTCCTCCAAAGGCCGGTCTGGTCGATCCCGTCGGTTACAAGACGAACCCTCCGCCCCAGGGGCGCCCGGTCAGGATATACGCAGATGGTGTTTTTGACCTGTTCCACCTTGGTCACATGCGTGCGCTTCAACAGGCCAAGACTGCCTTTCCGGACGTCCACCTGGTGGTCGGTGTCACGGGTAACAAGGAGACACATAAGCGCAAGGGTCTGACGGTTTTGTCTGCAAGGGAGCGCGCCGAGAGCGTACGCCATTGCAAATGGGTTGACGAAGTCATTGAAGATTGTCCGTGGATCGTTACGGCCGAGTTCCTGTTGAAGCACAACATCGACTATGTTGCTCACGACGATCTGCCATATGGAGCGGACGAGGGCGATGACATCTACGGTCCCATCAAGGAGCGAGGCATGTTCCTCGTCACCCAAAGAACAGAGGGTCTCAGCACAACAGGTATTATTACCAAGTAAGAGTCTCACTTCCACCAGTCAGGAGCCTGCTAATGTATTATAGGATTGTACGAGATTACGACCAGTACATCGACCGCCAACTGAAGCGCGGAACGTCACGTAAGGAACTCAACGTATCGTGGCTGAAGAAGAACGAGCTCGATGTCAAGCGTACAATGGCGGAGCTGCGCGACAGCATTAAGGCCAACTGGACCACAACCGGCATAGAACTCAGCAGAGATTTCCGTCAATTCTGGCAAACAAGTCGACCAGGAAGCCCGGCCAGAACTCCTACAAAGGAGCATTCGCAAGCCGAAGCCATGGATGTCTCAGGCTCCGCTCGATCGCCCTCGGCACTCTCACGACTCAGTCATCTGGATATTCCGCGCGCGAACAACCCCTCGAGGGAATCATCAGAGTTCACCGCTGGTTACAACCTCGGTCTGATTGGAGGTGTACGATCATGGGTACGTGTTGATTTCTTTATCTGTGAGAGTTGAATAAGATGCTAACATGAGACTGCAGATGGCGCGTAGTCGTCGCAATTTGAACGACAGCCGGCCCCAAAGCCCTATTGACGACAGTTCAGACGAGCATGAGACCAAGAGCTCACATGAAACCCCACGTGGACGTACCGGCAAGCAAACAAAGAGCGAGCCATCCGTGGAAACTGCTGCTTAGGAAGCGTTTACTTGCTACTTGAAATAGATGATTGCCGCCTGCCTACCTCCCTTTTTTTCATTTCCTCGTTATTACTACTTATCCTAATATGATGCTGTTCCCGCGCGACCAAACACGCTTCGTTGTTGTTGCATAATACTAACAAATGATTGAGTGTCTAGCTGCGTCAAACAGATTGGACTTTTTCCACAGATTGATGGCCAGCTTGTTAGTGCTCTCTTGGCTGTTAGGCAGACAAACGATTCACGTTCAAAGCGTCTGTTCGGCTTAATTTCTTTTTTTTTCACTTCGTTTGATGGTTGATCATGTTATTCAAAGACGAAACTGGGAATCGGCATCGTGTTCGGTAATGGACGGATCTTGGGAGATACGAACAGAGAATCCGGTGTATGTTCGTGCGTACACTATGTTGTCAAGACGCCACTGCTTTATCTTAAAGAACTTCGCCTTGTCATGTAACTGCAGCGCAATGAGCTTGTTGTTCAAGGATATCATCTTAGTACGTGATAGTAATACGATAAAGTTGTAATCCGAACAGAGAGAGTCCATGCCCATAGCCCGCACACGCCAGTCTACCACCATCACACATAACCCTGCTGGAGATCTAAACTCCAAAAGGGCGCACAATGGAGAGACCCCGAACAAGGCGATTCAAACCGAAAACCTTGTTGTGCTTTGTTCGCTCATAGCAATTGTCAAGCGACTCATGAAGGCGAAGGGGAAAGCAACAGCATGGAGGTGAGTTGCCGACCTGATTGCTCTTGCTTGATTGTACTGAACGGGGAGATAGGCAAGGGAAGACATAAGGCATAGTTGAACAAGGCGATCAGAAGTCATATAATTCACGAGATGCTCATAACAGCACTCCAATAGTAAAGCCAATTCCAGCAAGCAAAGAACATCCAGACGAGACCACAATCCCACTTACCCATTCCACTCGCTTCACACATTTAGTCGTCATACAAACGAGTCTAGCAGCACCAGAGTACAAAGGCAAAAAAAAGATGTGTACAGCCCTCTTCACCACGTCCCTGCACTGCGCCTGTCCGCCCACGCCCGTATACCCGTACGTCCGCCTCTGCACAAAAGCCACGCAGCACACGCCCGCCAGAGCGTGTGCAGTCGGCAGTCGCATGAGTCAGACGGCGTGGGCGCGGGGACGCTGTGCGTGGTGTGTGGACTGCCAAGGTGAAGCGTTGAGGGGGGAGAGGAGGGAGCGCGTGAGGAGGGGGGAGGGAAGGCGGTGATAGGGCGGTTGTGACGAGGGGGAGAGGGGGATGATGATGTAGATGGGGTAGATGGGGTAGGGGGGTTGTTGAAAGAGCGAAGTTGGAAATTTGGACGGGAGGGTTGGAGAGGGGGGGGAGTGGAAGCATGCATGCGGGTTTTCTTTTGCAGGTTGCGTGTGGGGGGGTTTTGTTGCAGGAAGGAGGGGAGGGAGAGGGGGGTAGAGAGACACGTCATTGCGAGAGAGTGTGTGTGTATGCGGTATGTATGTAAGTGTTTGAGTGGTTTTTTTCCTTCATGTTGGGTGAGGCAAAAAGGAAAAAGGTACGCAAGTAAATGGGTCCGGATCCAGTGTTGTTGTTGGTTATGGGTTGTTGGTATTATGGGTTTCGATGGTCGGGATTGCCTATTTGGGTTATGGCTGGATCCTCATACACCGGACGACACCAGAGTCCGTGTCCGGAGGTCAAACGTCAGCGAGAAGAGAGAGCGAGAGCAGCGGGACGAAATCTTGATTGATCTGTTTTTTTTTTGGCGAGGCGGGTGCGCTGGGAAGGGGATCATCGGAGTAATTAATAGCATGGAAACATCGTAGCCAGGCACCAGATGAACGGGGCGATTTAGCGGCGTTCGGGGAATGGGCGGCTGAGAGGGCTAGAGTGAGGCTAAAAGAGGGAATGAATGCATCTCGTCCGAGTAAGTAGTAAGTATGATGACGGGGCGACATCCGCGCGACGACGGCGTTAACCGCGTGTCGTCGGAAGTGGACTGTGTGAGATTACTGTGTAGTGTATTGTATCTTTCAATCTTCATCTCTTTCCCTCCGTGTCTTTTGTCCTGTTACATAGACACTGTCTCAGTCTTCTTGGCCGCGCCCCCGTCAGTCCATACGCTGTATCGGCAACGGACCGGGGAGCAAGTAAGTAGGCTTCAGGATGGCTGGCTTTTCCCTGGGTCAGCATGCAAGCCGCGCGACTGCTCGCCCTGGTTTTGGTTGCGAGCAAAAGTGAGGCGGTGGTGATGCGGTCTCCGGTGCGCACGGCCAATTAGCGGGTGCCGCACGCCGTCTGGGCTGGCTGGGCTGCACATCTGCTGCATCTTCCTCCCTCTCGACATCGCCGCCTCCACCGTCGGACGAGCTCTTCGAGACACACGACTGGCGACTAGCGGTGAGCGTGTTGGGATGACATGCCTTGCAGCTTCACCCTCATCCTCGTCCCCGCCCCGGCCTCGACGCGGAACGCCCTAAGCCCGTCGGCGGTTCTATGGCGATCGCCTCGACGGTATTGCTTTGCACATTCGACATATGGTCAGGGCATAACCACACCCGCTGTCTGTGCCCAGTCTTTAAACAAGAACGCAAGGGCACGCACCCGACTCGTATCTCAGCCTCCAGCTTGCGCAACCGAGCCCATCCCTCCCCTCCCTTCCCCCCCCCAGCCGCCAGACCATTGCTGTTTGAAGTACGCAGCGTCATTCAATCTCCGTCGTCACCAATACCGCCGCCATCATCATTTACCACTACAATCACGACCAACATCACACCATCTAGCAGCTCTCTCCTACGCCTGCCTACACACACACACATCGTTACCACTATCATCAGTAGTAACACTCCTTCCTCCTGTCTGTCTCTCTGCTTTCTGCTTGTTTTCCACTCTCTCTCTATCTCTCTTGCACTTTGCTTTTCCTGCAAAGTGCTTTCCGTCCGAAGCCGTCTCTCTACGCTTCCTCTCTCTCTTCCTTGTTGTTCTGTCGCTCTTTGTCATTGCGGATGACCTTCTTGTCCCCCTTCACTATGTCAACGCCTGTCAAGCCCTAAACTTGTATACCAACAGTCTCCATTGACCTAGTATCTCAAGCGGGCACATGCCAACAAGGTACGACTTTCATCCGAGCACCGTCCCGCCCTTCGCGGCGTCTTCGTGCTTGTCTGACTCGGAATGTCATCTCGCTCGTTCCAGCAGGCCCCTGTTGTGCCTTGGTCAAACAACCCGCGAACACGTTTCCATTCTGTGTCTTACAAACCGCGCTGTCTTGGATAGTTTGGTGGGCTAACGACTGGCAGTCAGCGCTTGCAGCAACCTTGTGCGCTTCTCTTGAGCGTTCGCTTCCCACCAGGACTTATCACCACTGCTTTGCCCACTCACGCGCTCGTCACCACACCGCCGACCAGCGTCACCGTACTCCCAGCACACGTCATCACATGAGAACTCGACCGTCATCAATGCAGAAGAACTTTGGTGGCGTACGCCGGCGCAAGGAAATGAGCTCCCACACGCCAAAGACGAATCCCAGCGCCAACCCGTCCTTTGCGTCAGAGCAGCACTATGCGTCACGGTCTGGCGCAATGGACGTAGATGGCATCGAGGTATCACCATCGCCATGGCACGGCTCCATCTCTGGCCCAGAAGGACAGACTGTCGAAGAGAGACAGATCACGGACCAGGGTGCAAGGCAGGCTAGGGATCATGTTGCCTCAAAAGAGATGGTCACTCCATCGCCATCACGACGTTGCTATTTGATCGTACACGAAGAGCTTGCAGAAATGCTCAAAGTTATGCTAAGCGAGCAGCCCGAGACGCAACCATCTGTTGAAGAGTTAGCCCAGGACTTTCTGTATGCAACACTCACGCCACCCGTCACAACGCAATCGTTGAGCGAGCTAGACATGCAAAGTATCATTACCAACATCAAATTACGGCATGACGTCAACTTTGACCGAGATCTGAGCTTCCGACCTAACTTGGATGGTGCAAAAGGACAAAGGAAGGAACGAACCGCTGACAAGTACTGGACAGCGTTGATCGCTGAGCTGGAACTGTACAAGCGCTTGTTCCAAGGAACCCCACCGATACCCCAAGCCAAGTTGGAACGATTTGCTCGTGGCGCGCAACGGCGAATTCCAGTCTTGTTCCAGACGATTCGAGATGTCATCAAGAGCCTCGTTCCCGACAGTGATCATTCAAGAGTAGATGAGCACCTCGATGTTCCTCTGCTGATGCAAGAGATTGAGCGTGGAGTGTGTGACTTTGTAAGGCTAGCGGAATGGATTGCCCGCCTCCTCAAGGAGCATTGTGCCCCGATGCGTGATGTGTGGGTTGACGAGATGGTGGCCCTCACAAGACAGGGCGCAGTTACACAAGATTCAAAGCAGATCATCATTGGCCTGAAGACGCTCTTTGCTATCCTCGAGGCGATGAAGCTTGTGAGTTTGATAGTTCAAAGTTATGCCAGTAAAGACTAACCGAGATCCAGGATGTCGCCAACCACCAGATTCGAAACCTGAGGACGCTGCTTATCGAGGATACAGTCAACTTTGAAAAGCACTACCATCTGGAAAGACTTGTGAGCGGCAGAGCCAGGATCAACGTCGATGCTGCAAAAAGCTGGTTCACCGCCGCTGTTGAGGAGTTTGTATCGCAATGTTCACCACGACCAAGGGCTGGACCCTGCCTCGAGCTTGAAGTCTTTACCCGCGCTGTTACGGCCAAGTCGCTTGGCCGAGACAGACGGGGAAATCTTCCTGAAACCTTTTTCCTCGACAACGACCGATTACGTGTATTCAGAGCTGAGGTTGATGATCTGGTCATGTTCGAAGTCTGCATGGAAATGTGCGTTGCAGTGGCGAAGCAATTCGGATACCAGGGACCTATCACTCTCACTCTCGGCCAACAACTTCGCACTGCCCTCACTGCCATCATGGGCGAAGCTGCTGGGTACGGTGCTCATCAGTGGATGATGAACTCGGAAGCTCTTTCGTTGGAGATTTT